AGGCCATTTAGAATTCACTTCCAAAGACAATAAAACTCGAATTGAATTTATGTTGGCTATTAGAGCAAATGTTTCTTGATAGTCAATTCCATATATTTGTGTGAAACCTTTCGCCACTAGTCTCGCCTTGTATCTTTCCATGCTACCATCAGCCTTGCATTTTACAGTAAAAACCCATTTGCATCCAACTATCTTCTTCTCCCTTGGTAAGTCAACTAACTCCCAAGTGCCATTTTTATTAAGAGCATTCATCTATTCCATAACTGCTAATTTCCAATTCGGGTCATCAAGGGCTTCTTGTATGTTTCTAGGGACAAACAAGTGAGATTTTAGAAGTAAATGCCCTATGGTTATGAGAAAGCCTTTCATAGGATAGATAGTTTGCGATAGGATGAGTGGTGCACATTCGGGTTCCTTTTCTAATAGCTATAGGAATATTAAGATCTGAGAATTCTATATTAGGAGATTCATTTGAAGACGAAATAGGTGTCATAGGAGAAGTAATGCAAATTGAATTACTTGGAATAATAGGAGATCCATCACTCGGAGATTCTGATTGATTCTGTTCAAGAATAATAGGTGATCATTACTCGTATTATGAGGCCTTCTCCTAGTATAAACCTGAAACTCAGAGTTTGGATCTTTTGGCGTGAGACATAGGTGGAATTCCACCTATATAATGTTGAAGGCAGCATTCCCGTATTCACAGCTTATTACGACGTATAAACAGTAAGAACGATCAACTTTTAATTTTCGATACAAATTAGCAGATTGATGAGTATTTTTTTAACAATGCTACTGAATTACTTTCTGGAGTTTATTATCCTACTGCACATTTAGTTTTACATCAACTATTTAATATTTCAGAAACATTTTCTTATTATAGGGATACATAACTTTTGGAGACATAGTTAAGTTAATGGAAAATAAATTTTAAAAGTTAATGATCAGGTTGTCCTATGTTATATGCATTGACAATCATTTTAAATCATAGGTGTGGAGTAGATGGGACTGACTCGTTGATGACTGCTACAACAGAAAATTTAGGAATAGATATGCAACTAACTATTACTGACGCTAAGAGAATGTTAAAGGTTTTTAGTTTGTATGAAGCAAAATACGACACATGTCAAAAAGAACAGGAAACTTCGACATCAACTAGCAGTTCGGGACCTAAAGGATCGTCGTGGAGTTTCTTGAAGAAAAGAGAAAACGGCAGGATCGTCATCAACACAAGCGTCTACGGAACTAATAAAATATTTTGAAGTAAATTTTGTAATCGATGACGACAAACTAGACATCTTACAGTAGTAGAAGAGCAAGACCGATCGTTTTCCAACACTGTCCGTAATAACTCGTGACATTATGACAACTCCAATATCAACGGTAGCATCGGAGCAAGTATTTTAGCGCAAGCAACTGAATTCTTGACGAGAAGAGAAGCAGAATGCATCCAGATATCTTGAAGGGGCTAATGTGCGTTAAAGACTGGAAAGATGTCAGAAGACGAAAACAACAATATACGGATGATTCAATGGAAGAATATTTTTCTAACTTAGAAATAACAAAATCTTCTTGAAGCACTTAGGTTTGTAATTTACTATTCCTACTACACTCTTTTTTTCTAAGTTAAGGTTTTGTCCCGATCTCCCCACGGGTTTTACTTGGTAAGATTTTTAACAAGGCATTCATTTATGTGTATTTATTCATATTATGTCAATTCAATAAAATCACATTTTTTTGGGGCATATGATATATTTTTTTAATTCAATTTTAAAAAAAATACAATTTGTTGGGCCGGCCTTGGCCCTTATGGACTAGGGCCGCGGGCCTGGACCGGGCTTGAGTTTTTCTCCTCAGGCCTGGCCCAGGCCCGTGACGGGCCTGGTGTTGGACGTGCCGCGCCGGGCCCGGCACGACATGTTTGACACCTCTAGCAGTAACCAAAACTCTTCACAGCCTTCGCAAAGCGTTCAAACCATGCTCTAGGAGATTGGTTAAGACCATACATAGACTCCTTTAGCTTACAGATTTTATTTTCACCAAATTTCTCCTCAACGCCAAGAGGTAAACTCATAAAGACTTCTTCCAAGTCTCGGTTTAAAAAGGCATTTTTAATGTCCACTGATGTAAAGGCCATTTAGAATTCACTTCCAAAGACAATAAAACTCGAATTGAATTTATGTTGGCTATTAGAGCAAATGTTTCTTGATAGTCAATTCCATATATTTGTGTGAAACCTTTCGCCACTAGTCTCGCCTTGTATCTTTCCATGCTACCATCAGCCTTGCATTTTACAGTAAAAACCCATTTGCATCCAACTATCTTCTTCTCCCTTGGTAAGTCAACTAACTCCCAAGTGCCATTTTTATTAAGAGCATTCATCTATTCCATAACTGCTAATTTCCAATTCGGGTCATCAAGGGCTTCTTGTATGTTTCTAGGGACAAACAAGTGAGATTTTAGAAGTAAATGCCCTATGGTTATGAGAAAGCCTTTCATAGGATAGATAGTTTGCGATAGGATGAGTGGTGCACATTCGGGTTCCTTTTCTAATAGCTATAGGAATATTAAGATCTGAGAATTCTATATTAGGAGATTCATTTGAAGACGAAATAGGTGTCATAGGAGAAGTAATGCAAATTGAATTACTTGGAATAATAGGAGATCCATCACTCGGAGATTCTGATTGATTCTGTTCAAGAATAATAGGTGATCATTACTCGTATTATGAGGCCTTCTCCTAGTATAAACCTGAAACTCAGAGTTTGGATCTTTTTGATCTTTTTGTAGTATTTCTCCCCCTGTTTGTGAGACCTCTAAGTTTGGCAACTGTTGACTAGCACCTCTGTTATTTTCAATGTCGATGATTGGGGTTCACAAGTTTGTTCCAAAATTTATAATAGCAGTAAGTGATAAATGATTTGATTCTTCTTGTTATTGTTTCTCTTTATAAACGTCATTGCTGGCTTGCTGCTTGGTTGTGATTTGCCCTAACCTTGTGTTCTGAAGTTCTTATCTCTTCGGCATTTTCTTAAGAAAGTTTTATACATGCACAAATTTCTTTATTTAATCTGTCCTATATTTGAAGGCGGGCCTTGGCACCGTAGTGGGAGCGCTTGCGTTTGCGCCCGGGGTCCAAGGTTCGAATCCCGAAAACGGCATCTCCTTCGGGAGGTAAGGCCGCGTACATATGTGATTGAGCTTTCTCCCGAGCCTGTCATAGTACGGGAGATTCTTTGGTATTGGGGTCCGCCTTAATCTGTCCTATATTTGAATAGTCTATATTCTTTGTTTTTCTTTGAGATTTTGTTATTTGCTTATATGTGTTTTAATTCGTTTACTCCTTAAGGCTATACCACTTGAAGATCCTCTGGATCCCTTAAAGATAAACTAAAGTCTCATTCATTTCACCGATTTGAGTTTTCAGTTTTAGGTTTTTACAGTAAAAAGCTTTCAGAAAATGTCACATCTAACTTTTTTTGTTACAGTGAAAAGCTCTCAGAAAATGTCACATCTCAGCTCGAATTGAAAATTCGAATCCACAAAGTGAACGAGACCTAAGTATATACGGTTGCTTGTCTAAATTTTAGAATCACTTTTTTGTGGGTTAATTATATCCTTGGTTTATAATCATTATTTTCTTTTGATAGCTCATTTAGGATGTTATTTTGGCCAGAATATTGGACGAGGCCCCCGTTGCAAATCTCAAAAGTCAACTCCATTTTTCATTCCAATTTCCAACAATGCCGTGATAAGATCTTACAACTAAATTATTAATAACAATATTATACCTCTTTTATCTGCCTGTGCGGAAAAAGTTATGTACCTGTGTTCGGATGTTATTTAGGGCTTGTTCATTTGCATTTTTTGAGTTAGGGTGACTTTCAGATCTTGATTTGAGGTAAGGTGTATTTGAGTATGGTTTGAGTTGGGACTCTAATTTGAGTTTGTGTTTGGATGTGCACATTTTGAGTTATGGTTTGAATTGAAAATTTATTTGAGTTTGTGTTTGGGTGGTTAAAACTTGAATTTGTATTTGGATAGTATTTTAATAAAAATTCAATGGTGATTGAAAATTTTAATAGGGTATATAGGTTGGGTTTTATTCGTCTATTCGTTGTGAACGCATAGAAAAAAAAATTAATCTCAATTAGAATTAAAACGAAAAAGTTATGGCATTTTTAATGATAGAAAAAATATTGTTCATTAACTTGAGTATGAGTTTAGGAACTTGAGTTGAAGTGGGAACTTGAGGGCCCATTTAGTTCACTGATTCGAGTTTTTAATTCGAGTTGAGATGTGATTTTATGTGAGAACTTTTTACCGTAGTAAAAAAGTTAGATGTGACTGTTTTTGAGAGTTTTTTACTATAGTAAAACTCGAATTCTAAATTCAAATCTGTAAAATGAACGGGGCTTGAACTCAGATTTTAGCTCAAAACTCAAGTTCAAATTCAAATTTTACAAAAGAACATGAATTTGAATAAAGTTGTAACTTGAGTTCAAAATTTTTTTGAGTTTGAGTGCAAACTTTCACATTTTCTATTTGTAGGTTGTTTTTCTCTCTTTTTTTCTTTTTCTTTTTTTTCCTTTTTTTTTTGTTTTTGTTTTTGTTTTTTTTTTTTTTTTTGAGCAAATAACTGTTTTGGGTCTGAGAGTTTTACATCGGTTCTTGAATTGGAGTTCCTGCCCTTTTTTTTTTTGTTACTACTGTTGTTGTTGTTGTTGTTATTGTTTTGTACTGCGTACATCTCTCTCTCTCTCTATATATTCTCTATTTAGATCATACATTGGAGCTCTCTTTGCTCTGCAATTTATTTTCTTTTGCATGTTCATTTGTATGTCTTCATCTGGATCCCCTTTTTTTCTGGCATTAATGTTGTGCGTTTATTTATATATTTTAAGTGTTTGGCATTTCCATTCTGTTGATTATTTATGTGACACTCTGTTCCAATGATTGATGTGTTTCATCTAATGGATTACAAAATAATAAGTCAGAATAATATTGGAGAATGAAGACATCAAGAAGACTTGCTTTGAGGTAGGATTGACCATCTTGATATGAAATAATATGAGATCTGTTTCCTATTTTTTTGTTTCCTTTTTCTTTTGGAATGCTATGTGAACATGCATTTACTTCATTAGTAGCGAAAGCATCACTGTTTACATAATTTTATTTCTTTTACAGGCTTTTCTTCAGTGGATTGTCATTTTTTTGTCTATGTTTTCAGCTTTTCAAAGACTTCAATTTAAGCTCTGTTTTTCTTTTAATTCTCGGATTTTTTTTTCAACATTTGAGTGTAACCTTTATTATCAGTTTGTTTTCTTGTTCTTTATATATAAACATAAAAATAAAAAAATAATATTCTTGTTCTGCACATAGTTGGCCAGTTTTAGTACAGCATAGTGAAAGAGCTAAGATTGTTGGATAAGGCCTTCAAATCTTACTATTATCTACTAGTAAGGCTCGTGAAAGTGGTGGTTTAAGTTGTATGTTTATAAATGACAAAGTGGAAGATAGCAAGTAAATGGGAATGAGAATGAAAACGAACTGCAGTCAATATTTATGTCATAGAAAATGAACTTTAGAGAGGACGTAAGATAGACTTGGCTTCCCTTTCAAGCTGTAAAAGTTCAAGGTTCTTCTAACTCATTTAAAAGTAGATTTTTTTTTCTTTTTTTTGTTTTTGTTTTTTTGCTAAAGATTTATTTGATTTACTCTGATAAGTTTGTATTTGTGTCTGGTGTGCAGAAAAGGTTCGCTTGGTAAATGAATGCTTGTAGGATCTTCCATATCACATCCGAGCACAAGATTGTTTTTTGTTGAATAAGGAAAATGATTCCATGGAAAGATAAATCCTGGTTGCTTGAGAAAACTATGGACACGGGGTTTTTGTTTTGTTGAAACTATCTTGTTTTTTAGATATGAGAAAAGGTTTTCGAGCGTGTTGATTTTATCAATTGTGTCCTGTCCTTTTTGTAGAACTTTTCAACATCAACTTTCTAAAGAACGTCACTGTAAACTCCCTTATTATTATTATCCATAATTTGTACTCACTGTTGATGATATTTTCTGAGATAATTTTTCCTTCTTGGTTTTTCTGGTTGCTTGGTTATTTTAACTATTTATAATTATAGGTATCCCTCTGATTTTATTCATTTTATGGCTTCTTTAGGTAACAAAAATCTCTTGTTCTGTTTTTGTCCTTAAGGAAGGTGTTGTTATTTTTATCATTAGAATAAATCAACCAAAATATTCTACAATAAAATGGGAGTTTTTTTTTTCTTTTCTTTTTCAGTTATTTTTTCCCTTTTTTTGGGACAAAAGTTGGTTGCTTTTAGAGTACTTTTTGTACGAAAAGAGTACATGATTTGTCATGATTTTTTAAAAAACTATTATTTATATCATTTTAAATAATTAGGTGTTATTGTGTCATTTTATTTTCTTCTTATTAATTAAATAATAATTATTTTTAAATTGAGTGACATAAAAAATATTTTTCACAATCTTAAATGGTATTTCTAATTTTTCCCATTTTGTATTTCTTTTATGATATATCAATTTGGGTTTTACTTAAACTTATTATCTATTGTAAATCGCATTCATAAAATTACCACATTTCTTTTTTGTCTTAGGGGATTACCACATCTTTTATATTAGTTAAGCCGTCGTAGGATGAATCAGAACTCTTTTCTCAATTGAGAGTGATTTTTTTTTTTTTAATTGAACTTAATGCAAATCAAAAGTAAACTCAAAATAAAAACATAAATAAACTAAAAATGTGCAACATTTTTCAACTTATATAGAGCCTCACATGTGCGAACCACGTAAGTGTAACTAGTATATTTCAAAAGTCAATAACCACTCTTATTTCTTATCACAATTAGTCTTATTTTTATTACCGGCTTTAGTGGTTTTGATTCCCTAAAGTGTGTTACTTTGCTATGTATTAAATAGAGGCTGTATTAAATAAAGGCTGGTAAGGAAGAAGGTCCCTTCCTTACTCCCTAAAGTCTTTCCATCATGCATTGTATCTTTTGATACTTTCTTTCTTCTCAAAAAAAAAAAAAAAAAAAAAAAAAAAAAAAAAAACTATTCTTTCTAGTATGTTTACAAAATGTCATTCTCTCTTTAACAAATTAACCCACTATTTACAAACTAATCATTTTATTTCTCTTGTAACAACCAGCTTTCCAAGATGTTACTTACCATAACTTATAGCATAAATCATATTTAACTTTTAAAATAAATACTTAGCAAACAAAATTTTAAGAAATTTTTTTTTAAATACCTAATTCAAGATAAATCAATTTTCATTATAAAAGTTGTGAGTAAACTTAAGTAGTTCAAAATGTAAATTAGAAACTATAATATTGGAAAATAATAATAATTTAAATATAAATGATTTATGAATATATTTAACATAAGTCAATGTAGACATAATCTGAGTTTTCATGAACATAATTATAGAAACATAATTACTTAGTCATAATTTAGAAACCATATTATCGATAAGCGAAAATTGTTGCATAGTGGTATCCACACCCAGTCCTCTACTATACACGTTCTCTGCTGCAAGGTCATCAATAAGTAACTGGTTTTGACTTACAACATGAACAAATCTAGTGAGCGACAGCTCAACAAGTGCAAGTAGTTCTCACAAATTTTCTTTTTATTCATATCACCATGTAAAAATATGCATGACCGTTTATTATGAAAGGGTATATTATTGTTGGGGCCCGTGCTCGTACCGATTGCGCGCGATTGCTGGGGAGTTGGGGGAGCGACCCAAACATTTAGTCCAACTATCCCAGAGTCATCATTACTAATTTTAAGAATCTCCCATAAGTCAGATGATTATTACCGTCCTATTACGCCCGAAAATTTAGTACGGCACCTTACTATAATACAGTTACCTTAATATGCATGACCGTTTATTATGAAAGGGTATATTATTGTTGGGGCCCGTACTCGTACCGATTGCGCGCGATTACTGGGGAGTTGGGGGAGCGACCCAAACATTTAGTCCAACTATCCAGAGTCATCATTACTAATTTTAAGAATCTCCCATAAGTCAGATGATTATTACCGTCCCATTACGCCCGAAAATTTAGTACGGCACCTTACTATAATACAGTTACCTTAGCCTCTTATTAAGGTGAAATACAATTATGTACTTTTTCTATAATTTCTAAACCAAAATCAATTTTAGAAAAAGATGCTGAAATTTATATCAAAGCATGTTAACATATCGGAAAGTATTTTCCCAAAAGAATCTTACCTCTAGTGGATGGTATAGATATGATGAAAACTTAAACACTACCTCCTATTCCTCTTGCGCCTTCGTGTAACTCCCTCCCTACTCTCTCTCCTTCTCTTTAGTTTTACTGATACACACTCTCTATCTCTCTCTCGGCTTTTCTTTTGTTTTTTTTTTCTTTAATGTTAAAGCTACAATATATGAGTGTCTGTGTGTATAGATGCTGTGGGGGATGTAATGAGAGTGAGTGGGAGAATTATTGTGACAACGGAAGGCTTTTATCAATTTGTTTGATCGGTTAATACATGGGAAGAATGTTTATATATGTACTGATAGATAGGTAATGGGACTTCCAAGTAGTATATGGTATAGTGAAGGAAACATAAGTTAAAGTTAAAAAGTGAGTGCATGTGGTGGTAGTATATTTGTTTTTTCTAATGTCTTCTTGTCCTTGGTAATAATATAAAATCACACATCTATGATACATGTGATGGTAGTATATTTGTTTTTCTAATGTCTTCTTGTGCTTGGTAATAATATAAAATCACACATCTATGATGGGGAAAACAAGTCCTTGTGTGGGTGGGGGTAGTGCATGTTTAATTTCCTTTAGCAAGGTAACTGTTGGTTTTGAAAACGTTTTTCTATGCGGAAGCGCGTATCAAACAGATCGTGTACAATAAAAAATTTTAAATAAACTTTTGAGATACTCTATAAAATACATTAATTTATACGCCAATAAATTAACCAAATTAAGAATAAATTTACCTAGCAAACGATTAAGTCGATAACTTGAGTTATTTGATCACGAACAACCTTCACTGCAAGCTTGTTTGGGATACCCAAATCTTTCTCGTCAATTCCTTGAATCTACGATGATGTGTGTGTGGGCACACCTGAAACAAAATAGGATTAACAATCAAAACACTCAAGTCTTCCATGAACACCAATACATGCACGACGTGGAACTGAGAATAAAAGAACCTTTTCTTCTCCTTTTTTCTCTTTCTTTAAGAGGTTACATAGTTGTTATTAGTATGTTACACGTTATCTAACAGAATGTTACACGCCCGTAGCTGCCATGTCGCATGCCTATATCATAGGAGAAGGGAGAAAAAATTGTGTTCTCTAATTTTCTGAAACCTCCTATTTATATAGTACCTCTTAGAGTCCTAGAGAAACTCTATCTTATCTTTTAAGATAAAGTTTCAGAAAATGAAAGATAATATTTAATTTCAAATTCTATTTAAAATCAAATAAAATTCTCATTTAATTTTAGAACAATTTTTTCTCTCCTGTTGTAGATAACATTCGGTCACCACAAGGATAAGCTTCCTGTGGTTGGCGCCTACTGTAGATAAGGAGGAAACAAAATTTTTCCTTTATCCAGTTGTCCAATTTTGACTCAAATTTAAATTTTAATTAAAGTCAAACTTAATTTAAGTTGAATTCCAATTGTATAACTTATCAAATAAGTCAATCGGATAACTTAGAGAGCAAGTAACTGAATCCCAGAGGAATTCCTACAGTGCTGGGCACGTGACACTTGTGATCTCCATCACACGTGTGTTCTAAAATTCAGATTAAAATGACATTATTCAATGTCTAATTAATTCTTAATTAATTAATTAAATTTGAGTGTTTTATTTTAAAATTCCATAATTCTAAAATTTCCATTTTGCTCCTAATGTCTTATAGAATTACGAGAACGATGTAGGAACTCATGGACCTATAAGCTGAGCTCCAATAAAATTTATAATTAATTAAAACTCTTTAGTTAATTAAATAATTTTATTAATTCCAAAGTTACTTCACAATAAACTTGAAAGTGCACTCTCTAATTATAGATTTAATTTACTTCTAAACAATGAAGTGTCCATTTGATATAGTCATTATATATAGATCAATCCTCCATAAATAATTCATAATTAGAGACAGGTAAAATCCGTTAACCTCTCTAATTACATTTTTATCCTTGAATACTATTGATTCTCTAATGGATAGTGATTCATAAAATAAATTCATTAATCGGAGCTCCTACTAATCCAAATACCGAATCAACTCTCAAGAGAATTATTTATCTACTTCTTTCTCAAGAAGAAATGGATTCCATCTCGTATATTAACATTCTCAGCTACCCACTTCATCATGTCTCCGAGATACAAGGAATATGATTTAGAATCTCAAAATCCGTACCGAGTAAGTCAAAATATACAAATCCACAAATAGTAGTATGCTAATAACTCAAGATTAAAATCGTTCTATATATGACCATCGGTAGACTCAATTAGAATTTCTATGCTTAACAGAAATTATCAAAAATTCAAATTGTGGATGTGTCCCAATTTCATATAATCTCATTATGTGTAATGCACTCGTTCAATATATCGCCAATTAACAGTCTGGATAACACAGTTCCATTCCAAATGGGAATGACATGTATTAATAATGTTTTAATTAAAGATTCTCAACTTTAATTAAATTCATTACGAACATTATTTTGATTATTATCCTTAAATATTATGCTCTCGCATATAACACTTATATACAATATTTAAGGCTACATAAATATTTATAAAATTTTTAATTATATTCATAAAAGATTCAATAATATATGCACATAAAATAATAAATAAACTTTTTTATTAAATAAATAATAAATATCTTATTATATCGTATGCTTTTAGGACACTATTCTGGAAATCTACTTTAGACAAATATAATGTTGGAAAATAATGTGGCTTTGTCTTTTTCCTTAGAGCATGTACTCTTGTTTGGCTATTATGTGGTGGGGGGCACGTCCACCTG